TAAATACTACTAGTAGAAGATTAAATATTAATATATATGTATATATTAACATATATGCTTGTATAATCGACAGAAAATGCTATTGATTATACTAGTATAATCAATAGAAAAGCTGTCAATTATAGCAGTATAATCGACAGTCAAAGTGGCTGTCGATTATAAAGGTATAATCGACAACCAATTTGGCTATTAATTATATTGCTATAATCGATAGCTTTTTTATAATCGACAGCGTTTTTGTCAATTAATGAAGTATAATCGACAGCTTTTTGACTGTCGATTATATTTTTGTTGTTTAAACTATGTTTTCTAGTAGTGGCAAGTTCTCGTGTTTTGAGACACCCTCTAAGGACGTAACATTGCTATTGACCTTCTTGCCTATCTTGGTCACCATACTGTTTGTGCCATCATACTATCCTAGCCATTATTTACATGATAACAGAGCTTTCTGTTGCCAAAAAGCCTCTTCAATGTATGAATAAACATCAAAATAACTTTAAAAATAGTTTTTTGCAATTTGGCTTCTAGTAAACTTCACGCTCGTTTGGTGTAGTTGAATATTTTAGTAGAAGTTCTGTTGAAAGAAACTGTTGTAAAAATGTTGTAAAAATGTTGTTTTCTTAAATAAAAAGAAAATGAGGATAAAATAAGAATAATGTGTTAATTTTATTAAAACCCAAATGAAAAACACTTGTAGAAGCACCAATTTGGTGCTTTTAAGATTTGCAATGAAATGGAGAAAAAAACTAGCTTATGAGAAATTATAGCATTTTTCACTAGTTGTAATGTTTAGTGTAGCTTATGCTTTTGAAACCAAGTCCTTCCCATAAGTTGCACCAAACATGCCTTTCATCTTTGGAATGGGTGAGATCTAGTAGGAATCCCACACATTTAAGTGCTAACACATTGCATTTTAGTGTAAATTTGACTGCAAAATATTATTCCTTTAATTTTGCAAACTTCTATTTTTCTTTGAATTTGTCTAACTTATATTCTAATATTATATCTTAAAAAGATAATAAATATATATTTTATAATTAATTTTACTTTTTAATGCACTAAAATCGTCCTAACAAGTATATTAGTTGTTCCAAGTAATATAATGATGAGAAAAGTGTCGAACCCATTAGGATTGTATCTAATTAAGTACCAAAATAATTAATCTAAATTTATTTGTACAATAAAAAAGGAATAAATTTTAATTAGAAAAATAATAAAAAAATAACAATTAAAATAAACTTAACCAAGATATAAGGTACTAAGGTATCGACTTCACTATAATCAATCAATATAAATTTTGGATTAATATACTTTCAAAACCAATTTATTGAGTGTTATTACATGTGATAGCGGATTTCCCTAAACTAACTAACTAGTTTTCTCAAATCAAGTTTTCCTTCACTTGTTTATTAAATTAGTCATATCTCTTTATAATTTTAAACAAACTAATTAGCATTAAATTCTATGGAAACCTCTAACTTAAGAAGAAGGAGCTACTAACTCTCTTCTCTTCCTCCATTACTACATGTGAGCTAATTACCTCTCGGTCTCATAATCTAACACACAGTTTATATTATTATTGGTCTAATTTATGCAATTCTTTCTCAAGTTCATGCATAAATCACTAAATCAATCGAAAGTTAATCAGGCTTTCAATGCATTAAGTTCAATAGTATAAACTTATCATAGCCCTAATAAAATAAATTAGTTCATAATAAAAATAATAAAATCTAAAATCACAATTATGAATATAAGAATATTTAAGGAAAAACAAAACCTAATTTGAGGTAATTGAAATCCTTAATCATCTATTATTAATGGATCCTCTATCTTGATCTTAAAAAATGCCCAAAAGAGGGTTGCCACCAGCTTCCAAAGCTCTCCCTTAATTCTAAATTTGGACGGGTATTTATAGGATTTTAAAAATCCTAATTGGAATAGAAGTGAGACCTACTCCCATAATAATAAATTGGTTAAATACCTTTTTTGGTCCCTCTATTATAAGAAAAAGCCCCTTTTTGGTTTCAATACCGAAAAAATCCCCCTTTTGGTCCCTAAATTTTAAAATCCGACCCCTTTTTAGTCATTCCATTAATTTTTGCTCACGTGGCACATTAACTTAATTGGAATAGCTAATGTGGATATGCCAACGTGTAAAAGATGCTTACATGGACTTAATGATACGTTCCATGTCACCCTCGCAGTGCGAGGAAAGAAAGAAAAAAGTTAAATGCTAAATTTGATCCCTCAACTTTATAGGTTTGCACTTTTTTGGTCCTTAAATTATTTTTTTCACTTTTTTTATTTTTTAATTCTAAAAATTGCACAATTTTGGTCCCTCCATCAGTTAAGCATGACGTGGCAGTTAAATAATTCCATTTGACATTTTCTTTTAATTTTTTTATGACATGGCAATTATATATATTATAATTATGTTATATAGATAAATAAAAATGTCACATAGATAAATATTTATATTTTAATTAAAAAATAAA